AGCTTTAGGCAACACTTCAGTGACAGCACTCAACAGGACCTCAGTCTTTAGCATGTGTGCGTATAATATTATAAATTTATTTCTCTCCTTCTCTCCGTGTATATGGAAATGTTGACGCAGTGAATTAAAATCAAGCTGTGCTTTATACTTTCATTTTTAATGGGACCGTTCTTGGCTCCAAGGAGAGAGCTATCAGCCCCTGAACGGCAGGAACGGGTGGAGAGAGCAATCGTCTACTGCCAAAGACAAATAAAGTAAAAGGAAAGAAAAGGCACTGGAAGATGATGAATGGTTCAACTTCCTCAGCTGCAGGAGCTCTTCATTAACCGCTTCACCGCCTTTTTTTTTTTTTCTTTTTTTCTTTGTGGTTGTTGTTTCCTCTGTGCTCTGTGCATGTGCCTGTCTGCCTGCAGCTCTGTATGCTCATGAGTGTGTTGCCTGCCAGCAGCTGGTCCCTGTTCAGGTGTCCGTCCCCCTCACCTCTCCCACCCCAGGATGCAGTATTAAATGAGAAAAATAAAAAGAAGATGGTTTTACATTCCACACTAGCAATGTCACCTCGTGCTGCATCCCAGGGGACAGAGCCTGCCTTGTGCCAGGACACTCCAAAAAACTCAGTGCAAACTTGATGTACCTTGAAATTCAGGCTCCAGGGAGCCAAGGAGGGCACTTCTTGTCCCAAAGTGACTTCCCCAGTGTGCTCCAGAAACTGCTCCCCCTATTTCTGAAGCTCACTGGAAGCCATTCAATCCCTGGAGATTGAATGCTTGGTCCTTCCTCTGCATCCCCCTTCAACCCTCAGAAACCCCTGCAGAGACTAAGCAGGCCAGAAGCCCATGGAGCTGCTGTGGGTCAGGATCTGGCCCCTTGCTGTGGCTCTTGCACCCCAGGGTGACCGGGCAGGACAGGGTATAGGTGGGACAGATGAAGGACCAGTGGGTCCATTTCACACCCCAAGGAAAACCAAGGGACAGAGACAGATGCAACAACTTGTCCAAGGGCAAGGAGGGACAAGATACAACTTGTCAGCTTCATCACAAGCATGGTGGGTGACAGCACCCCCCTGAAATGGCCAAGGAGGTACAGTCCCGGGTCCTTTTGCAACCTGGGCTGAAGAACATAAGGGCAATTATCTGGGGAAAAAGCAAAGAGCTGGCACCAGGCTCTGTCAGGGTGTCTTTCGGGTTAAAATCTGAAAAGACCTGGGCTTTGCTCCACCTGTTTTCTGACATGTCTGGATTTGGTTGCTTTTGGAAATTAGATAATGGACTAGGTGGACCAAGGGGATGGGTCCATCCTGTCTTCCAAGATGTTGCTGGGAATTAAAAGCATGGTTGCTCCCTCCAGCGTGTACAATGTAAGGCTGTAGAAGTTGATACAGAAGCTTTCTCCTCAGCTAGCCAGGAGGTTTTTGTCTTCCTCATTTCAATCTCACAAACACTGCCACATGGTAAGTACAAATACGATTGGATAAATGAGAAATGACTGCTCAAACCATCAGCGAACCATCAGCCTGAGCCTGAGCCTCAGCCCTTGCTCAAGAGCTCACTAGAGGTGGAGAGTTTCAGCACATATCTCCATAATCACAGTCCCGGAGGGGAAATAGTGAGGCCCAACCTCCAGGAGATGCAGCATTTTGTGGGCAATTTTGCCCCAAGAGACAACAAGCTCAATGCCAAAAAAAGCAGATGGGCTAAAGCAGGTTACAGCACTCAGTGTACTCAATGTGGTGCTGGTCTCCACCTCAAAGTACGTACAGGAATAGACGTGATATATGAGTTTGCCTACACAGCAGCAAAGCTGGGACGAGGCCCCACAAACATTGAGGTGATGACGGTAAAAGTGGTCTGATCCTCAATCCCACACCCACTCCTCCAAGCCTTGGGGAGACTGAAAGACATTTAAGCAGGAGATGCGACCGTGATGCACGTCCCAGTGCCCCCAGGTTTCAGTGAAATGACTGAGACAGGAGCTTTGAGCAAGGCTCCATCATCCAAGAAGATGCCTTTGATGCTGAAGACATGGTACGGTAAAGGGCTATGGTTTTTCTGCTCTCCTAACGTCATTTTCTAAAGGTACCCAAACTGGCAGCGGACCCCTTTATAAAGGGGAAAGCTCCATTTAGACGTACTTCCATTCAACGAGTGATCAGAGGCACTTGGCAGCTTTCATGCCCATCTCACACTTTTAAGGGGGTTGCAGATAATGGGACAGGGAAGAAAGAGCAAGGAGAAGAGCTGCACTTGAGGATCTGGTCCCTGGAAATCCCAGCAGCAATTCAGAGGTTAAGGCCGAGCAGACGATTTCATGGTCATCTGCTGCCATCTAGTGTCACCAGGACACCCAAAAGCCCACCCTGGATTCATTAATTTCTCTAACCTGGCCTCAAGTCTTGCCCGTCCCATGGACCACAGGCCACATCTTACATTTGTGGGTGCATCAGGATGGACATCATCCATCTGCACTCCCTGTGAGCATCTCAGGTTAGACAGAACCAGCAAACAGACCAGTGTGCACCATCCTAAATTACACACACACACACACCCCCTCGATACCGCTGCTCTTCAGAGGGAAGCCAGCTTGCAGCTCAAGGGCAGAGGAGCTGGTTTGGTCTGGGCACGTGGACCAGGAGGGCTGTTAGCTGCTGCTCTTGCCTGGGGAAAAGGGATGCGATGGGTCATTCTGCATCACGGCACAGCCAGTCTGCCTCAAGAAAAATCTGCTGGTGCGTGCAAGGACATCTCCCAGGCAGAGAAAGGGTCTTTGAGAAGGGTAAAAACATCATTGTTGAGTACTTACTGTGCTGCTGAGCAGAGACCTAGACCAGTACATCTTAGCAGGATCCCTGAGATCAGAAATGGGGGTTTCTATCAATTCCTTTCTAGCCTGAATAGCTCTGATTTAGCCCCCAAATGTGCATGTCTTGGCTCTGCACTGTCAGTGAAGTTTGGATAGCTGTAGAGGGTGAACTCCCCATTTCTCCCCACTGGCAACAGCAGGAGATGAAGGGAAGTGTGATGGCCAGGTAGGTGACATCAATGGGCAAGAATCCGAGCCCAGGGATATTGCATCAGCTTGACGTGATCATTCAGTTGCTGGCCCCAAAGGTGTTTTTTTGACTGCAGCACTGTCATCCCTCACTTTGCCATTAAGCTAAATGGTCCGACTCATTGGGAAAAGTTTTTCCAAACACTTCATCATTGCAATGACTCCTCCAAACCCTCTCCAACTGTTTAACCCTCTGCTAACACTACACTTGACAGTAGAAGAGAAGGCATTCACAGATGGGGAGCAGGGTTTCCCTGCTCTAGGAGCTCTGTGGGGTCTTCCTCAAGTCTGACCATGCCAGAAGTCCTTGGGAGATCACTGAAAAGAATGTGACCCTGGGAAGGGTTAGAGATAAGTTCATTTATCCTGTCCTCTGGAGGTCATCTGAGGATGATCTCAAGAGGTCCCTTTCAGCCTAACTGATTCTGTGACTTGTTATCAGAGTAAGAGAAAATGCTGGATCCTACATCCACCAACCAAGAAAGATATGGAGGTACGAGAAATGCTTCAGGGAAGACCCACATGCATGAACAAAGACTTCAGAACAAAGCCTGATCATAAGAGAGTAAGGACAGCTTAGGTTAAGTTAGCCTTAGCCACAACCTGCAATTGGCAGCCCTTTTTGCAACACTGGGGATAACGAAACACCAGAACAGTTTCCTGAGGGTTGTCCCTCAGCCTACATCATGAACATCCTTTACATTGGTTGGACACATCTCAAAAATATTTGTCCTAGGTCAGATGGGATCTGCCCCAGGGTAGTTGACATGTCGCACACAGTTGGATCAAATGATCCCAGGTTTAAGGTCTAACAGAAGGGGCTCCAGGGATCTGCTTGCACCGATGTGGTAGGAGACCCATAGCCCTTGGTGTCTAAAGGCTCAAGGAACTTCTGAGCAAGAAAGGAGTCGGAGCCAGGGGACTGTACAAAGCCTTTGTTCTCATTTCAGACCCTGACAGAGCCGCATGTCAAGTCATAGGAAAGTGGCACGGTATAATACTGTGCAGGTCAACAGCACCTTTCATCTGAGGATTGTAAAGCCCTTTCAAGATATCAGTTTGTTAAACCTCACAACACCCCTGTGAGGTAGGTATTACCCCCCATTTTACAGACGGGGGGAACTGAGGCACAGAGAAATGCAATGGCTTGGCCAAGGCCTTTGGGCAAGCCAATGACACAGGCAGGAGGTGTTCCTGCTCTTGTTCCCGGCTTGTGGCTCCTTCCCCCTTTGGACAGCAGAGTGTTAGCAGCTCACAGAGCCACTGCTGGGCTTGTCCCATGAGCAGGGAACATCCAATGTTTATGGAGGGCTCCTGAGCCCCTTGAACGCACCCTGGTAACCAGTTGCCACCAGCACTTCAGCCATTAAACCGTTTCCCAGACAGCTTCTCCTTCCAGGTAGGACCCCAGGATTGTCACTGTTTTTTCTTGTGCAATCAGGCAGGAGGCCAGGAGGAACCTGAGAACTTGGATCCTTCATGAAAATATCCCAGCACTGTATGGCACAGTCCAAACTGGAAACCATTTTTCTCTGGTGGCAAATGTCTCCCCGGAGACAATGCCCAGCATTGAACTCTGGTGGCAGCGAGCGGGGGGGGGGGGGTCTCAACAGGCCTGGAGGAGAAGGAGGAGGTAGCTAGAAGGATATTACACGGCTTTCACTGCCACTGTCGTCAGCATCTTTCATAAGTGTTGGATGTTCACTTGACCCCAAGTCACCCCATCCCAGCCCATGTGCAATGTCAAGAAGAAACTAAAGCTGGGGAATAAATTGGCCAGGAAGCGATGCCAGGAGCTGTGGTGGAGTCTCCATCATGGTAACCCCACCACCAACCCACCACAACCCTTAGTTACGTCATGGTACCAATTTCCCCTCTCCTCCCCCCACCACTACAGTTTTTGTGCTGAATACATATTCTGTCTTATAAAAATAGTCCTCTGGTATCAAAAGACAAATAAAACAAGAGAGGAATAAAAGACCCCTGTCGCCAGCAGCAGTGCAAATCAGGAGAGCCAGCTCAGGAAGGATGGGCTTAAGGTGTCCTTGGTTTGTCACTTCTTCAAGGGGAAGGAGGTTGATTGGACTTTGATGGCTGGGACTGGCCTAGAGCAAGAAGAAAGAGAAAGGAGACAACTCATTCAAGTGCGGAGACCAAGCATCCACCACAACCATCCTTCCACAGCTTGGGGAGGACAGACCAGCTGCTGTCCCTGAGACCAGAGGGGACCTGGGACTGTCACGGTCACCCATGTCCTCCCTCAAAGATACACCCCCAAATTGTATTGCTTTGAGGTGTTCTCCTTCAGCGTACCCTCAAAACCCTGATAGGATGCAGAGTCTACCAAAGCATGTGGTGGCACTGGGCAGTAACCAGCAGTGAGAACTGGGAGCCCACCAGCTGCAGGAGTGACATCCCCCAAGGGGTTACTGCTCTTGGCTTCCCAAAAACAGCCAAGGTGGTTTGTGCACTACCAAGAGACATCACCAAATCAACCAACCCAATATGGAACTTACAGTCCATCCTGGGAATTCATTAAATCTTTCATCTCATCCATCCAGGAAAGACCACAGTTCCCAGTCCCTCTCCTAGCATGCTGGCGGTGTCAAGTAATGAATCTGGACCAGGACACGGGCACATCCTGCACACATCCCGCTCCCTGGCACAAGTCTGGCCCTGCTAGTCAACACTTTCTGACATGGGCACCATTTCAAGAGAAGATGGCCAAGGACTCTCCTGGAGGGCAGCAAGGACTAAACCACACTGTTTGGGAAGTGAGCCAAGTTTGGCTTCCGGGATGTGCCACATCTTTCTCTTTTGGGACCACAGAAAGGCTTGGCTTATCTACTAGAAGAGATGAGCTATAGGGATTGAGTTACACTGAGAAATTTTGGGGCATATTCAGCCTCCTTGTGGTGGTAACAACAAAGACATAGGAACCTAAAATGGTCCAAGACGATCAAAGCAGTAATTAGCAAAGCAGACCATCTGGGGATGAGGGCCAACTTCAATCCAGCATGGTGCCTTCTCTCCATGGCTGGATATGGCCCACAAGCCTGGCTAGCAGGAGCGGATGCAAGCACAGTCCCCTGAGGCCCCACTGACCTATTTCCAGAGGGTTTAGCAATATAGCAAGGGCTGAAAGTAGTGGAGATATTGTAAAGGACTTGGACTGAATCTCCCAGCTCCAAACTGGAAAGCCTGTGTCCTCCATTCCCTTGGACACAGGTGGCCAAGCCCTGCTACGGTTTGGATACACAGAGAGGCTCTGTCCTGCTCATCTAAAAGCCTCTGGGAAGGGTGGCATTTAATCCCCAGTCTCTTGGGTCCCAGCCCAGTGCTTAACCAAAGGCCATGCCCCATATCAGCAAAGACCATCCCTGCACAGTGTCTGCGACTCACCTTTGAGGTGGCATCAGTCTGTAGGGAGGAAAGGTGAAACAGAGCATCAATGTACATCCCTTCGCTCCACTATCCCCCAGCAGCTCACCAACAACCCTCTCTGTCCTCTGGGACGGGGGGTCATATGCACCCCCAAAGGATGGGATCACCCTTAACCCATCAGGACCCTATAAAACCCAAAGTCCCAACCTTGGTCACCGCTGGTCAATGTTGTCCAAACCCTGTGGGCTCCTGCCAGGTGGAGACATGGCTGCAGATCCCAGACACCCACAGGTACCTTGCTCTGGTGGTCAGGCTTTTCTCCTGCACCATCCAAGAGGGAGCATAGGCACAGCGTTCCACAGAATCCCCATCTGGACAAACGCTTCGGTTGTGGTTGTTCCCCAGGTAGCAGGCTTTGGGACATCTTCTGATTTTCTTTCTACCTGTTGCTGCTGCCCCCAGACTCCCCATACCAAAGATCTCCAATGCCCTGCAGGCCAGCTACCTCAGAGACAGTGGGCTTCAGACTCCTGTGTAGCTATAGCAGCAGGTACAGACCCGCACAGCCCAGAGCACAGAGCATTTCTCCTGCTCCTCAGCAGCCTGACCTGTACACACCAGCCATACTGGGGAGGAGGAGAAACCCAGGTCACAGTGAAGACACCACGAGGGGCAGACCAGAGCACACCAGATCAGAGCACACCACAGTGATATTTGGGATGTCCCACCCAGACATGGCCCACAAGACCCCACACTGTGTCCACCTGTAGGACCCCAGCAGTGGTGGGAGATAGCTCAACTCTTCTCTCTACTTACTTTAGTGGCCTTGTGGGGTGGCTTATGGCACTTGTACCCGATGCCTTGAAGTTGGTAGGAGGGACCATGACCAGCAGGGTCTGTCCATGTGCAGGAGGCAGCTCTTTGGCCAGAAGAGGACTTCCAGGCAGAGGCCGACGGGGAGGCTGGAGCTTTGGGACGATCTGGGATCACAAAGTGTATGGAGAGAGATGACATCCTTAGAGGAGCATCCAATGACCTCCTACAAATCGCTGTCCCCTGCCGCAGAGCTGAGATGTTTTAAAGCATAAAACAACCACACCCAAACTACCTTAAAATATTATCTTTATCTAATGAGCTTTCCTCATCATTGCAACAGATTCATCTCTTAGGGTGGCATGACAGCTCCTTAATAGTGCCCAACCCAAAAGAGCCACAGGCAGCCAAAAACCAGGGAATTTTGATGAGTCTGGAAGGAAAGCACAGCCAACCAGCAAAGCTCACCAGCGGGGTCCTCACGGGGCTGCAGGGAAGAGGTTTCTTTGGAGGCGGCAGCTTAGCCTGGGAGACGACCGTTTTGGTGGGGACCATGGGTGATTTGCTGAGTGGCGGAGGTGGCCTGGCAGGCTTGGAATCTCTCGGGCGCGGAGGAATGGAGTGGGGAGCCGGGCGAAGAGGGTGGACAACGTTGACAGGCTGAGAGCCGGGCTGGTGAGTGCTGGGTTTGGGGGGGAACGCAGCCCGCGTTGCCTGCAGGGACGAGAACATCAGAAGTATGGAGAAAATCCTTAGGTGCGTTTTCTTGGGTGCCAATAAGCAGATGTCCCCTCAAGGGCTGGGTGCTAGGGAGTTGCAGGAGAAGCATTGTGTATTTATCCCACTTTCTGGGACCAACACTGTTATCATCCCACCCCAAAGTTGAACATGTTTGCTCCTCGCTAAGCATATGAGAGTACACATGGATGAGAAAGGTGCTGGGCTCAGGAGATGTGGACCAGGGCCACCTCTGGTGAATCCACACCACACTTCCACCAGGCTGAATTACAGAGATGAGAGACATCATCCCTTCTGCCTCAACCTCAGCCGTTGTGGCCATGCTCAAAAAGACCATCGGTTTCTGGCTAAATTCAGCCCCAGGCTTACTCATCCCAAGGTCACCAGAGCTGACACAACCGCAGCAGAAGCATCTGCCTCCTCAGAGACCCACCACAAAGTCATCAGCAGCATTGCAGAGCCCCTGCTAAGCTTTGCCATGGTGATGGGCAATTTCCCGGCGGAGGCTCCTGGCAATCACCGGGGTCCTTCTGAGCAGGCAGAGCTCAACAGACTCACTTTAAGGAGGGATGTGTACTATTGACCAAGGGCTGACAGTGTAGACACAGTGCAAAACCAGCAGGGAGTACCAGCTGCGTGCCCATTTGCTAGAGGAAGATGTGCTCACCCACAAGTTTCAAGTCCCGGGGGGAGCAAAGCAAACCTAAAAGGTGAATTATTACTTACTTTATTAGTGTGGCTGGAGGTGGAAATGTTCCGCAAGGTGAAAGCAGCTTTGGGATGGCCACCGGGTGACTTCCGACTGAAGGTTTTGTTCCTGCCCAGGATCACAAACGTAAATCACAGATGGCAAAATAAAGCAACTATTTTTGCAACAGCTGCCTCCCAACATGCTGCACGTCAGCCAGATCCTGTCTCTGTTAACAGACAGCCTTGCAGTGCTGGGTGAGCAAGGATGACAAGTCTGTCTGGAGATAATGAGGGTAATGAAGGAGGTTGGTTGGTTCTGGATTTTTTTCCCAAATTATTGCAGGGGCTCTGAGGTATATGTGTGTCTGTACCTGTACTGGGAGGGGAAATAATGAGAATATCTAAATTCAGCACTACTTTAGAGCCCTTCCAGCTCTCGCAGCCTGCTAGGAGCAGATGGCAAGAAAGCTCCCTGGTACCAGGCCACCTTCATCATCACTCTCTGGGGTTGTCCTGTCCTCTGCTCATGGGAGAGCTGAGAGGCTCGGATTGTCCCAGGAGAGAGGGCTCTTCGTATCTCAACCAGGTCTCATAGCAGTTTGAAACAGACCCTGTGTACCACCAGCTCCCCCACAACAGCTCCTTCCAGGCTGGATGCTGCAAGGAAACAAGGTTTCAGGGTCTTACTGGGTCCTCAAGAAAGGAGGGATTTAGAACACATCACCCACCTATAAGTCTCCTGGCTCCTCCTCCTCATCTCCTTAATCCATTTATTCAGGAGCGAGTTCTCCCGCCGGTACCAAAGGTAGATGATCATCATCAAGGCCGGGAGGAAGAGCAGGAAGATGAGCAGAAGGGTTATTAAGATGGCTTCATGATCTGGCAGGGAAAGCACAAAGATGAGTATGGGACTGTGAGAGCCAGCAGCCTCCAGCTTCAGTAGATGGAAATGTTGGTCCTGTCTGCCCATTCCCGGCCACCCAGGCTAGAGACATTGCTGATCACATCTCCAAAAAGGGAATGGTACCATCTGGTGGCCTCTGATTAAAACGGGTGGCCATCAAGCAACCAGAGCTGGGCACAGTCTACCTGAACAGACCTGACCCAGCACATCTGGGAGCACAGCTGTCAGCAGCTTTACCGCCCCATCTCCCCCTCTCGTGACATCGCTCCAGCCCCACCAGTGTCACAAGACACCAGACGAGGAGTTGGGACTCACTGTCGCGCTGCACAGGGCCACTGTCCACGCTGCCGCCCAAGCCTGGTTTCTCGCAGTATGGGGGAGCCCAGCCGGCATCGCAGTGGCAGTTCTTGTTGCTGTTGCAGACCTGCAGAGAGAGAAGGATGGTTGGAGACCACGAGGGATGTATGGAAACGATGGTCTGTACAGTGGGGATGAAGGAGCTTAACCCCTGCCAATATCCACCCCTTGAACATCACTTAGATCATGCCTGTGTTGCCTTCAAATCTGTGATGGCAATGTACAGAGATATTTTCTTGCTGATACTTTTATTTCCCTGCTCTTTGCAGAAACTTTTAAGACAGATATCTTACACCCTCAGTTTTCACACTGCTTCACTAGACAAGCCTGATGCCCTTAATACTTCGCATTAGGCTAGAAGTTTGTTAAACATCTTCCCCTTGATGTTATAAGAGCATGAGAGTGTTATGAAAAGCAGATGCCCACTGCATTGCAAGAGTCATCCCTGTGGGAGACGCTTGGTTTTGCTTAAGAATCTGCGCTCATCTCAGGAGCCTGCTGTAGGTCTCAGGCAATAACTCACCCCATGGCTGTTGCACCGGGAAACGCACTTTTCCAGCTCAAAAAGGGAGGCATTCTGGCACCGGCGATCTTTGCAAACCTGAGAGAGAGCCAAGAAGCCGAGGTTAGGGAAAGGCCCGAGAGAGGGGGGATAGTGATCTTCTGGCTTCACAGATGGGAGTCCTCTGGAACAATGCTGTCCGCTGGAAAATGCAGGTTGGTTAAATTGTGTTGTTCCAGGTCAACACATTTCACTCCAATTTTCAGCACAGCCCAGGAAACCTCTGCCATTCCCCCATCCAGAACAGCTCAGCAGAGACCAGCCACCTCCACTCCCACTCCCCTCCCCTGACAACCCACCTGGCAGCTCCTGGAGATGGCATTTCTCATCTGGTCCTAAAAGGCAGGCACCAGCCAAGAAAACCAACACTGGATTTCAAATTCAGCCATCCTTTCTCATGAAAATGTTGACATTCTGGCCTTCCATCCCAAACGGGGATGAAAATTTCACAATTAAAATGCCAAATAGCAAAGGCTGTATCTCCCCAGCCAGCTCTGTCTGGCGTGCATCCCTGCTACCATGTTGTCAACCAGGCTTCTACCTTTTCTCAGCTGAACTGAGCCTCTGTAAAGTACTTGGGGATGCAGGGGCTGTAAAAAAACCTAATGCCCAGTTAATAGGATCTGTTTGGATCTGTCATTTTGATTCCTAACACAGCTTTCCCCTGGGGAACAGTTTATTCATAGGAGGAAGCCTCATCCATCAAGTGCTGGGGCATGCAATTCTTGTTGGGGTTGGTCCACTATTAAATCAGTAAAGAAGCATGGAGGCCAGAGAGAAGAATTTGGTGGCCTGCACACAAGCCTCTGGTGAAGTCTGGAAATGCCCCAGTTGAGATGTCATTGAGGCAACTGCAAGTGTAGGGCGAACCACATCCCATGGCCCGGCTGTAATGCAGAGAACAGCCAAAGTCTACACTAGAGCTGGGACAAGAGCCAAGGAGCTGATCTCCTGGAGGAGACCCCAGCCCTAGGAAGAGGTACTCACCATTCCATCTCCACATTTCGTCCCCGTCATCACCAGCCCAGGGTCAGAGAGGTCTTCCTCATCATCCTTTGTGGTGTACATGTAGGTGCCTCGGCACTTCACCTCCCGCCCGTTGAAGCGGATGGTGGTGTCGATGGAGACGGTGTTGGTCCCCTGGGGCTTCTTAGCTGAGCTCTGGCACTGGATCTTTCCACACATAGCATCCCTAGGAGCAGAGCACAGTCAAGGTGAGGGCAGGAGATGTCTCCCTGCCCCATCACCTCCTGCCCCGCTGCCTCCTGGCTCACCTCCCCCTGAATTTATGACCACCATGTTAGGTTGTGATGGGGGAGGCTCAGATGGTTCAGAAAGGGCTTAGATAAATCATGGGCAGGACAGAGAAATGCTGGAGGGCACGGGTCAGGGGAGCCCTCTGACATCCCTGGTCTAACTGGGAACACTGGAGAGCACGTGCTCCCTAAATAGCATCTCCTGCAGATGCTGCCTTTGACTTTCCCTTCAGGCTGGGCTGGATGATGCACGGTGGGACAACCTCCCAGCAGTGATGGGGACTGAGCCCAGGAAGGACGTGGTGGCTTCCTCAGGTCCAAAACGGAGCTGGCCCAAGGGGTGATGCCAGGAGGCTGGGGCAGGACCCTTCCGGTCCCTTCGCCGGGGGGGGGGGGGGCTGTAGGTGTGGGAGGAGGAGATGGGGCACCCATGGGTGCCAGCGCTGCACCCACCTCTTGTCGCATTTCACATAGCGCCCTTGGCTGTCTTTGCCACAGTTGCCGTAGGTGTTGCCAGCCATGTTCACGTCCTGGAAACAGGCATCCGGGGCCGGCCAGGCACCTGCAGGGAGGGAGGAAAGGTCCCGCGTGGGATGGGGAAAGCAGCCAGCAGGGAGAAATACCAAAACCGGGAGCCACGGCTGGATGCTCGAGGAGAAAACACCATGGAAAAGTCTCCCAGAGAGCTGCTGCTGTGGGTGCCAGGTCAAGAACAGCACAAGAGGGGTGAAACCCCTTTTCCCTGGGGTCTAGCAGAGGATTTTGGCCCTGGAGGAGGATTCCCTGCCCTGTGTTTGGTGCAGCTCTCCTGGGGGTACCCACAGATGCTGGTCCCGGGGGTGGCAGCACCATGATGCAAATGGGGACCTACATGCCCTGTATAGGGTAGGAGCAGTAGCGGGGTGTACACGGGTGAGAGCGGGGTGTTGAGGGTGAGGGTATGGGGACTGTAGCGTGATGGGGCAGGCTGCAGCACGTGGCCATACGGAGTGTGGGCATCCTACGCAGCATGGGGTCGTACGCAGCTGGGGGCCATACACAGCAGAGGGTCATATGGAGCCTATGAGCTACGGGCCGTATGCAGAGTGGGGGCAATACGTATGCAGTGTATAACAACCATACAAAGCATCTGGCCATGTATACCTTATAAGCCACATCACCTATGGATCATATGCAGTATAGGGTCTATAGGCAGGGTGAGGGCCATATGCAGAATATAGGCTAACTAAAGCAAGGAGGCCATATACCGTCTGTGCTGTGCATGAGCCATATGCAGTGCTGACACCGTACGGACTGCACTACAGCGTGGAGGTCACTTGCAGCATATAGAGTCATGTGCAGCACGGGGATCATACGCAGCATGGGCGCTGCATGTAATGTATGGGCTGTATGCAGCGTGGGGACCATAGCCAGAGGGCAGGCAGGCTGTGCGCAGCAGAGGACCAGGCACCTGTGAGTGTGCCTGCACAGCACCCCCAGCTCTCCACGCCAACCCCACGGATGTTGACCCCAACCTGGATGGGGACAGCACAACCCCTCCATCCACCACCCCCCGCCGACCCCATGGGCAGGGGGCACGGACACCCCACGTACAGACGCAGCGCTGAGACCAGACGTGGCTCCTGCTCCGGAGATGGGTGGCAAGGAGACAGGACTGGGGCTGGTGGGACTCACCTGGTCCCCAGAGCTGGACGCACTGCTGGTGGTGGGTCATGCACATGCCGTTGCTGCAGTAAGCCTCGCCGTAGGCGCA